ACATTGTAAGCTGTCTATGGATCACTCTTTATATATATTTGAAGCTGTCAATCAGTGTCTCCTCACCTACCCTATCTCTTCTTCTGTCTGCTGTCTCCTCCTACCCTGTCTCCTCACCTACCCTGTCTTCCTCTCACTTGCCCTGTGTACCTGTCCCCCTCACCTACCCTGTCCCTGTCTCCTCACCTACCCTGTCTCCTCACCTACCCTGTCTCCTCACCTACCCTGTCTCCTCACCTGCCCTGTCTCTTCACCTACCCTGCCTCCTCACCTACCCTGTCTCCTCACCTACCCTGTCTCCTCCTCCCTCTGTCTCCTCACCTCCCCTGTCTCCTCTACCTACCTGTCTCCTCACCTACTGTCCCTGTACCTACCTGCCTCCTCACCTACCCTGTCTGTACCCTGTCTCCTACCTACCCTGTCCTCCTCACCTACCTCACCTATGTCTCCTCACCTACCCTGTCTCCTCACCTGCCCTGTCTCCTCACCTACCCTGTCTCCTGCCTGACTACCCTGTCCTCCTCACTACCCTGTCTCCTCACCTACCCTGTCCCTGTCTCCTCACCTAACCTGGTCTCCTCACACCTTCACCCTTGTCTCCTCACCAACTCACCCTGTCTCCTCACCTACCTCACCTGCCCTGTCCTTCACCCTACCCTGCCTCCTCACCTACTCTACCCCTGTCTCCTCACCTACCCTGTCTCCTCACCTACCCTGTCCTCCTCACCTACCCTGTCTCTGTCTCCTCACCCTGTCTCCTCACCTACCCTGTCTCCTCACCTCCCCTGTCTCCTCACCTACCCTGTCTCCTCACCTACCCTGTCTCCTCACCTACCCTGTCTCCTCACCTACCCTGTCTCCTCACCTACCCTGTCCTGCCTCACCTACCCTGTCCTCACCTACCTGTCTCCTCTACCCTGTCTCCTCACCTACCCTGCCTGTCTCCTCACCTACCCTGTCTCCTCACCTCCCCTGTCCTCCTCACCTCCCTGTCTCCTCACCTCTGCTCCTCACCTACCCTGTCTCCTCTCTGTCTCCTCACTCATACCCTGTCTCCTCTACTACCTGTCTCCTCACCTACCCTGCTCCTCACCTACCCTGTCTCCTCAACCCTGTCTCCTCACTCCCTGTCTCCTCACCTCCTCCTACCTACCCTGTCTCCTCACCTACCTGTCTCCTCACCTACCCTGTCTCCTCACCTACCCTGTCTCCTCAACCTACCCTGTCCTCCTCACCTACCCTGTCTCCTCACCTACCCTGCCTCCTCACCTACCCTGTCTCCTCACCTACCCTGTCTCCTCACCTACCTCTCCTCACCTACCCTGCTGTCTCCTCACCTACCCTGTCTCCTCACCTACCCTGTCTCCTCACCTACCTGTCTCCTCACCTACCTGTCTCCTCACCTACCTCTGCCTCATCACCCTGTCTCCTCACCTGTCTCCTCACCTACCCTGCTACCCTGCCCTGTCTCCTCACCTACCCTGTCTCCTCACCTACTCCTCACTACCCTGTCTCCTCACCTACCCTGTCCTCCTCACCTTACCTTGCTCCTCACCTACCCTGTCTCCCTCTCCTACCCTGTCTCCTACCTACCCTGTCTCCTCACCTACCCCTGTCTCCTCTCCTACCCTGTCTCCTCACCTACCTGTCTCCTCACCTACCTCTCCTCTACCCTGTCTCCTCACCTACCTGTCTCCTCACTACCCTGCCTCCTCACCTACCCTGTCTCCTCCTACCTGTCTCCTCACCTACCCTGTCTCCTCACCTACCCTGTCTCTCACCTACCCTGTCTTCTCACCTTCCCTGTCTCCTACCTGCCCTGTCTCCTCACCTACCCTGTCTCCTCACCTACTCCTCACCTACCTCTACCTGTCTCCTCACCTACCCTGGTCTCCTCACTACCCTGTCTCCTCACCTCCTGGCTCCTCACCTCCCTGTCTCCTCACCTGTCCCTCACCTACCCTGTCTCACCTACCCTGTCTCCTCACCTACCCTGTCTCCTCACCTACCTGTCTCCTCACCTACCCTGTCTCCTCACCTACCCTGTCTCCCTCCCTCCCCCTGTCTCCTCACCTACCCTGTCTCCTCACCTCCCCTGTCTCCTCACCTCCCCTGTCTCCTCACCTACCCTGTCTCCTCACCTACCCTGTCTCCTCTAACCCTGTCCTCCTCACCTCCCTGCTCACCTGCCTGTCTCCTCACCTACCCTGTCTCCTCACCTACCCTGTCTCCTCACCTACCCTGTCTCCTGCCTCCTCACCTACCCTGTCTCCTCTACCCTGTCTCCTCACCTACCCTGTCTCCTCACCTACCCTGTCTCCTCACCTACCTGCTCCTCACCTACCCTGCTCACCTACCCTGTCTCCTCACCTACCCTGTCTCCTCACCTCCCTGTCTCCTCACCCTGTCTCCTCACCTACCCTGTCCTCACCTACCCTGTCTCCTCACCTACCCTGTCTCACCTACCCTGTCTCCTCCTACCCTGTCTCCTCACCTACCC